GAGCTCCATGCTGCCCCGTTCAGTTTGGGAGAATATTGGCTCACAGCAGAGACGAGCCGCACGAACCATAAACGCTGTGAGTTGTGAAGCGCGTTCCATCCGCGAGCCGCATCACCAAGCGGAAAGTGAATGTGTCAAGCATAAACCAAGCTTAAGTCTCCTCCCTTTCCGGTGGGTCATGGGTCCCCGGAAGAACAAAAAAATGAATGCAAGTTACCCAGGCTAAAAGAGCTATATTCAAATCTGCTTTACCGTATGCTGTGGATTGCACATCTGTTGTAGTTCAGTTTAAATGAAGAGGAATGGTGGGTGTTTCAATCACGCCTGTCACAAACTTTGATATTTATCAGTTTGTAATTAGCAAGACTACAAATCAGACTTCGGTAGTCACATATAAAACATCTCCACATTATCTCCTCTCCCCTAGCATAGCTGCTACTTACCACATGGCCAGATTTATGGAGGTTCTTTCCTCCTGAAAGCAGGATTGGAAGTTCGCTGAACGTACTGCCATTTTCCCTCAGTTTTCTCCGTGTCTGGTTCGATGACGTCACTTCTGGGAAGCGCATTTGTATTTCTGGACTTATTTTCTCACAAAACCTAAAATAACATTTCCTCCTGTTTGAAAATAAGCACATTCTTGGCATCTAATTGCTTCTTTAAAATTCACGGACATGTGAAATCCATGGCACATAAGTCGAATTAGAAAACAGCGTTTTTTACCCTGTTGACTCGCGTTAATTTTTTGTTCTTCCGGGGCCCATGGTCCGGAAGTAGATGGGCGTGACTTAGGCTTCCTATGTAATTCAATATTTGCACGTCCCACTTGTACCTAAATCTTCCACCAGGGGGCAGAAGAGGCCATGCAGCAGGTTTTAGGGAACATACTAATGGGGCAGCAGTAGCTCAACAGGTTAAGCGGGTTGTCCAGTAATCGGATGGCTGCAGGTTCGATGCCGACTCCGCACCAAGAATTCTGCTGTTGTGTCCTTGGGCAAGAGACTTAACTCACCTTGCCTGCTGGTGGTGGTCGGAGAGACCAGTGGCACCAGTGCTTGGCAGCCTCACCTCTGTCAGTGCGCCCCAGGGTAGCGTGGCTACATTGTAGCTCATCACCACCAGTGTGTGAATGTGTGTGTGAATGGATGAATGATACACTGTAGTGTAAAGCACGTTGGAGTCCTTACTCTGAGAGGCGCTACACAAGTGCGGGTCATTTATCATTTAATGCTGTTAAAGAGCTACAAACATAAGTATAATACATTTAACTTTATATGCTTTATTCGTTGAATTGTATTATTGTTTGTCTGTTTGTGTGCTAGACAAGTAATAAAAAAGGAATTAGGTGTTGGGCATAAAAGTGGGCTAAACATAACCTGGGAAATTAGTAAACAAGAAACAGGTGAGCAGAATAATTACCTGGAGCTGGTGTTCTTGGTTAACAGGGAGCTGATGGGAAAACCTCCCAAACAAATGCACACATGGACATAAAGCGGGAAAATGAGGGGTATAACTCCAGGAAAATCGGGAATATGGGTTAGGGTTTCAGTCTAATCTATGTATAATTTAGTTAAATACATCCATGCTTTTGATTTGATTACGTCACAGTTTGCCGTATTTGTGAGGTTATTATAATTTTCTCTAGAATAAATTATATTTGGATCATCAGCAAACAGTATAATTGTCAAGGCCTGAGCTATATTAAAGATGGAATATGGAACACTGACACTCTGGCGAACTCTGGTGTTCAGAGGTAGTACTGGAACAACAGGATCAATTTTCCAGACGTTGGGATGTTGGTTCACTGCTGACATGTTCTAGCACCATGTTCAGAGACAAATCCTACAGGATAAGGACACGTTTCTACTAATATGTTTACTTTACAACAGTATTTACCGTTAGAACATCTTCTGGGCTCAGAATCAACTGCTTGACTTGTCAGTCTGCCATTTTACACAGTCCCAGCCTCGCCTTGCTGGGTAGACATTTTAACACAACAGTGACCTCTAGTGGATGGTAGATGTAAACATGAACACAGTGTAGTGCCCGACAGAAGGAAAATTAGATTATTTATCTTTTTAAGTATAGCTTTTAAAGGAGAAACTGTGCAACCATTCTGCACACCTTTGAATGCCCAGTGGAGGTATCATTTTTTAAATATAGCTTTTTATTAAAAATGTTCCATTTTCTAACTTTAAATAGGCCCTTTAAATAAACATTGAATAAGTGAGGACCCAATGCAGACTAGTAGCAGCACAAAGAGCAGAAAAACTGGTCTCAGTTCTAGCTCCAACCCTTAACATCATTTTCTCTAAACTGAGGTCATTCAGGAAAACAAGAGCTTTTAATTACCAAACTTGTCAATGTCAAGGAACCTCACCTCAATGTCTTGTTCCCGCCCCAGTTGCCTAGGAGATACATCATCAGGAACCGCCAAAGCGTGTTCCAATGATCATGTTCTACCAAGGCATGTGTTCCCCGCTTGTTAGCCGTTTAGCTAGCTGAGCAAGGATACACGAAAGGTGCCTTGTAGCCTAGCCTTGATCAAAAATGTCCTGGAATACGGCACAGCATTTTCAATAGGATGGTGGATGAGGAGCTGGCAGCAGCTTCGAGGGCTAACTTGGAGTCTAAGTGTAACTAATTGTAGTTATTCGGTTGATATCTATTTTTTTTCTCAAACCAAAGAAGTTATCTATGGTTGGTTAGTTGCTTAGTAATTGTAGCTTTGATGGCTAGCAGGTAGTAACTCATTTACACATTCAATTTAATCAATATATACACAACTAAAAAGTAAATGGCTTGTTACTTTTACAGTGAAACTTAAACTTATAAAATAAAACGTGTCACGTGACGTGAAGCTGCGGTCACATTATGTAAGTCTGTTCCATTTAACCCTTTTCTTTGACCAAGGAAGTTAGAAATGCAACACAGAACGATGAAGGAAGGACAACGTCCTTGTAAGAAAGGCTCCTGACCTTAAGGCGGTGTCTTGTGAGGCCCTGAGCCTTGGCATTGAGAAACACAAACTCTCTTTAAATACGAATAAAGGTAATGTTGAACATAGTTATGGAAACAGGACTGAATGAAAACACACGGAATAAATGGATGTTACGGTTGAGGCTTAGCTGTGAAAGTACTTGATGAAAGAAGATGAAGGATGTCAGATGGGAGCAGTAAGTAGTGCTCCAGCTGTGTGACAGGACGTGGTGGCGCCCACTCACGAAGGGGACCTGCTGACTCCAGGGACAAGAGAGACATCGGCAAAGGAGAGTGAGGGAAAAGTTATCTTGTGTTTTTCTGTTGAGAATCCTCCCACTCGATATTTCAACCCGGGTGCATTCATCAAACAGAGAAGAGGAAGATCAGGGAATAATGAAACAGGCTGACATTTTATTATTTTTGTACTAAATCACAGGAACTTCTTTGTTCTTCAAAAGAAGGAGTTACTGGTGACGTGATCCCACCATTCAGCGTGAATGTGTGTGTGTGTGTGTGTGTGTGTGTAAGAATTTACTCTCAAAAGGCACACACACACACATACACACACACACACACACACACACACACACACACACACACACACACACACACACACACACACACACACACACACACACACACACACACACACACACACACACACACACACACATACTCATGGATGAACCAGTCCTGTATAAACCTTTCTGCCAGGGCCTACACCAGCTGACCATGCCAGATAAACCTCTGAAGAGGGCTGCTCCTGGGCTTCCTAATCATGTTCATGAACCACATCAATTGGTTCTTCTCAGTGTGGAGGAGCAGCGGGTCAAGTCTGAGCCTCTCGGGTATTTCTGTACTCACCTGAACCTACAAGTAAGTAAAGCCACATTGCAGGAAAAATGTCATTTCAGCTACTTGCTATTAGCCAACAGGCTTTATTACAGTGAAGAAAAATCAACTGGATAGAAAGCTTCAACATATCGCTAGCCTGGAGGCAAGTTACTTAGCGTTCCCAACCCTGGTCCTCAGTGCCCTCCCTGTTTTGCATGTTTCTATGTCTCTGCTACAGCACACCTGGTTCACAGGTTTGCATTTCCTCCTTAAGGTGACATCAAGTGCTGCAGAAGCCTGTTAATCACCAAGTCATCTGAATCAGGTGTTTGGCAGTAGAGAAACAATGTTGTTGGAAATGGCAACATTAAAAACACACAACCTTCAACCATCCTGAATACTCACCTCTCTCTCAGGACTGGTCCCTCCGCAGCTCCAGTGAGATATCAATTCCAATTAATCCTGCTAAAGAACTTTCAGTTCGGTTCTACACATACTCAACAGACCTACCTCTTCCAGCAGCGATCCTCCTCGCTTCCTTGCTTCCTCTTGGTCTCTCGATTCCTCTGGCCCAGAAGAAAATAAACTGTTTTAAGAAAAGCTTGTTTCTGAGTCCAAGTGTGCTGTGTTTGCTTAAGTGTCACTAGAGAGGATTATAAGACACCTTTCGTCAAACATTTTGACAGGTCTATTGTTCTTTGACCTTTCATTCCTATTGTTCATTTGACCCTTGACCTTGCCCCCCCTTCCTATCATTAATCAAATGGACAGGTGTATTGTTCAATCTTTGCCCCCCCTTCCGTATCATTAATCAAATGGACATGTGTATTGTTGATCATCCAGATGGTTTAGACCCCCCACGCCGCATCATCAATGGCGTATTGTTGAACGTGTCCAGATGGTCTAGACCCCCCACGCCGCATCATCAATGGCGTATTGTTGAGCGTCCATGATATCCCACGTCATAGGCTAATGTGTGTAATGGTGTGTGGTTTCTTTTTTGTGATAGCCCATCGGTTCCCACAGCCCCTCCCTTCTGAGTGTAATCCTATTGTGTTTAACTCTTTAAAAGCTCAGATCTGTCCGAATGGTGAAAAGCCGAGCTCTAAGAAAAAATGATGAACCACGAGGAGCTGAATGAAGCACCAGGCCGCGCTGAAGAAGTGCCTACAGACATGGCTCACTGACAGTGGATGAGTGCGGCCTAACTGTTGTGAATGACAGCCCCACACACTGTCAAGTACCTATGAAATGGTTGTACGTTTCCTCAAAGTTAAAGAATCTGTTTTTGTAGTAGCAGACAAGATGGTATGGTCTGCTAGCTCTTGAGTGAGTGGCAGAAGCTGAAGTCAATGCATGAACTTTTGCAGCCTTTTGCTGAACACACACAAACTCTTCAGAGTGACACATTTGTCTATGTCATTAATACTCTCTTTGAGATGTTCACGTTGGATTTCGTATGTTCAGTCTTAAACTTTGTGTTTAAATGTGTTATTTACATGCAGCTCACTGACACTTTTTGACCAGAACTAAAACTATTGTGTAAAACTCTCTGTCCAGCAGCACATCAAATTAATGGCTGTAAGCACACACACACACACACACACACACACACACACACACACACACACACACACACACACACACACACACACACACACACACACACACACACACACACACACACACACACACACACACACACACACACACGCACACACACACTTCTCTAAGAAGTAAAGGGATTACATTCAAACATTTGTCTTTGACTAAACCATTCAAACATTTCTATCACTTCACAAAAGCAATGGTTTACCATCCTAAACCATTTAAGGTACTGTTGTAAACCAGCCTGCATACTCAAGCCTATAAGAACAAAAGTTGATCCTTACCTCAGCGTGATGCTTTTTAAGATCTGTTGAGCTTTCTTAAAGTTCATTCTAAACAATTTTGCACGGCCAGCGACTTCTGACAAAGCAAATGACTTCCTTTTTGTTCTGCAGGTGGCGGTAAGTTTTAAAACAAAGATCTGGCTGAACCAAATCGTCACAGAAACAACACACAAAAAGCAAATTACTTACTTTTTTGCAGGTGGGCTGAATTGAAAGAGTGGCGGGAAAGTTTTAAAAACAAAGTTCTGGTTCATTCTAAACAAGTCGGCATGGTAACAATTCACAAAAGCAAATGACTTGCTATTGTTTCAAAGAGCTATTTAGGTGAAAGCTTAACCATCGCCTCCTGCCTTTAGTGTCACATTTTGTTTTCACTGTCACACACACACACACACACACACACACACACACACACACACACACACACACACACACACACACACACACACACACACACACACACACACACACACATTGCTTCCTGCCTCAGAGAAAAGATTTGATCCATTTTGTAGGACCTATAACAGCTGAAATAAATAAAAAGCTGTTTATGAGGTTTGTTTTTTGGGAGGGGTGGATTAGTAAAGTCTCAGAGCAGACGTACCTCTGGTCAAACCTTTAATGTCATACCTCCCAGAATAGTTAAACTAAGGCACATGCATGCCGTAAACGGATTTACACACGAGTGAAAGAGCTGCTACATTTTAACCAAAACATGAGCGAAGAATAAGAATAAGAAGAAGAAGCGATGGATACGTGTTTTGAATATAGCCTTCCTCTGCTAAAAACAACGTTCGAATTGAGACATGATGAGATTTCAGGAAGAAATGTCCGGTACAAAAACGGTCCGGTATTATTTTTTGGGTCGTAAAGGTTTTTTTATTTCTGCTCCAGGGAGTTTTGATGAAGCAATGGATACGAGCACACACACACACACACACACACACACACACACACACACACACACACACACACACACACACACACACACACACACACACACACACACACACACACACACACACACACAACTCTAAACAACCATTCATACATTTGTCTACCTATACAACAAAGCAAATGACTCTGTATTGTTTATAAACATTTTTTTTTCGACCAATCGCAACCGTTTTCTATTCATGATTTTTTTAAACAGCTGTATAAAATGTAAAAGCGCATTTTCGGAGTCATGATTTGAGGTGTAACAAGCTAAGATGACGGGTAAGTTTTTAACTCAAGACGCAAATCTTTTTTTCTCTTTCTGGTTTAACATCTTTATTTTCAGACGCTATTGTCATATCGGACGGCGAGTGGGAAGAAATTCCTATTGAGGAATTAACTTGTAAAACTCCGGTACCGGTCCCCCTGGATGATTTGTCTAAAATTAATCGCGCGGTCGAGAATCTGAGTGAGTGGATTTTATAAATATATACGTAACGTTCTTTTCTTCAACTGAGAAATATCTCATTTTACAGAAAAGGAGGGGGTTCAACCTTACCCCGGAAGTGATAACTTTTACCCAACCACGCCTCCATCCACCAGCCGAACCGTCTTACATTCGTATCAGCCCAGCCATACCGTCAGATCACACGGGAATGCGAGCGTGAAAGCTGTTCGTTACAGGACCGTCACGCCGCAGACGATCCTCGAAGCTGGTAAGTGATTACAAAATAGCGATTAATAAGTCAGAGATGTGTCGTTCATATTTATCGTTTTTATTCTTCAGAGCAACGTCCGACGGCCTACGCACCCCCAATATCTCAGCCCCCACCACCTCCAGCCCCTTCTCATGCGCGGACGGATGGTAACGATAAAAAAACAACTGATTAATAAGTCAAAGATGACTCGTACACATTTACCGTTGTTTTTTTATCCTTTCAGAACAACATTCGACTGCCGCTTCAATATCTCCGCCCACACCTCCTCCATCTCCTCCTCCTCCTCCTCCTCCCCCTTCTCCTGCACAGGGTAAGAGATATATAAAAAGGTGGTTATTTACTTCAAAGATGATTCGTTCATATTTTTTCATTATTTTTATTCTTTCAGAACAATCCGACAGCGACTCTGAAACCGCTGAACGTGGTCCTGAGCAGCCAGCCGGTAAGCTGTTTCACAAAAAGCTCCGCATAGTATATTAAATTTGAAGTAAAAAAGATGTTTTTTATCCTTTCAGATGAAGAGGAAGAGAACGCACCACCTCCTGCACCTGTACAGAGTAAGTTAAATTTTATATATAATTTATTAAAAGCTCGTTCATTTTATTTATTTTTATTTATTTTTTTCATCAGAAAAACGACTGAAGAAAAAGAAAAACATCCGTCTTTCACCACTTCAGAGATTAAACAGGATGAAAATGGCCTACTTATTGCTGCAGGTCAACTCAGGCCTGGTCGAAGTGGTCCAACAAGTGCTGGCTCTGTAAAAGGAGGACGCAGATTTTTTTCTTCATTTTTAGTAGGTTATTAATGTCTTTTGTATCATGAGTGAAAATTGGTTTGACGACCTTTCAGATTTGTTTGAAGTAGATGGTGAATTAAATGTAGATTTGTTAGATCGAATTTTAGCCAGCCAAAATCCCTCAGATGAGGCCGATAATTTGGTGTTAAATGACTGGTTTGATTTAAGCGGACTGAGTGAAGTAGATGAATTAGCTTCAGATAGTGAGATCTTAGCATCCCAAGCCGTTTCAAACGAGGTCGATCAAATTCTAGCAAATTCAGATTCGCCTTCATCAGAAGCAATAAACGAAATATTGAGACAAATAGAACACCAGCAGCACGTAAACGAGGTCGATCAAATTCTAGCAAATTCAGATTCGCCTTCATCAGAAGCAATAAACGAAATTTTGAGACAAATAGAACACCAGCAGCACGTAAACGAGGTCGATCAAATTCTAGCAAATTCAGATTCGCCTTCATCAGAAGCAATAAACGAAATATTGAGACAAATAGAACACCGGCAGATCGGAGGGAGCGTAAACGCAGCTTTTAACCAGCGTGAAATTAGAGAGAGAGTGTCTTTTCAAGCAATCAACGACCCAGCCGAGTTTTATATTAATCTGATGGAAATATTAAACAGGTTTGCTGAAAGAGGAAGCCAGATCGCGCGTCCCAACGATAGAGTCCAGTTTGAAATTAATACTTTACACACGACACACCATGTTAATTTTAATTATGACGGATCAAATATGTTAAATCAGCTTCAGTATTTACTGGATCTGTTAGTCCAATCAAATGAAGCATTAGAGGCTGACAACGAATTTAATTTCAGACTGCAAGTGATAAATAATCCGTCCGGCGGTGGGAAACGAAAAATCGAAACCATTCTGGATCACGAATTAGTCAATAAAAAACGAAACCATCTCATTTGTCCTCCAGAGGCCAATCAGCCGTTGTGTTTTGCGCTAAGCATAGCCGGCCTGTTAAATCCCTCAGCGAGAGATACAGAATTAATGAATGTGGCTAAAAATATTCATCAACAGGCAGGGCTTCAGGAGCAATCAATCGTTTCATTTAGCGACGTGATTCGATTTGAAAATATTGTTCAAAGAAAAATAATCATTTTTTACAGATCCGACAGAATCATTTCTAAATTTGAAACAGATTTTAGCGATCGAACAAATCCGTTGTTCATTTTGCTACTCAATCAACATTATTACGGCATAAAAAATATTAAAGGTTTCTTAGGAGCCAAATATTTTTGTTCATGGTGCTTTTCCGCTTATAATAACATAAACGGACATCACTGTAAATGGTTCTGTCGCGTGTGTAATACCGATTTATGCAAACGAACAGAAACGTCTCTCATCACATGTTCTGATTGTAATCGAATATGCCAAAATGTAATATGTTTTCAAACTCACAAAACACCTGTTTTCAGGCCTCAAGCAAACAGGTTAGTTTCTCCTTGCGAAATGTTTAAAAAATGCACCATTTGTAAACAAACTTATTACATCGCCATGGGTGGAAATGGTTCACAGCACGTTTGCTCAGCGACCAAATGCATCGTTTGCAAACAGTCGGTGGTCACGGACGATCATCGCTGCTTTATTCAGCTTGAAAAAAAAGATGACGGTTTAACGGAAAAGGTTATTTATTACGACACTGAAACGTTTACGGATCAGAACGGTGTGCATACACCTTTTTTAATCTGTGCAAAATCCGATTCAGGCGACGTTTGGGAGAAATTTGGTTTAGATTGCATTAAAGATTTTATTATGCAGATGCGTCGTCCTAAATTCAGCAATTATACATTTGTTGCACACAATGCGCGTGGATTTGATGCTTATATAATTCTGAGCGCTATGTGTCAATTAAAAATTGTTCCCAAAAATATACTCATGCAAGGCTGTAAAATCCTGAGTTTTCACGATCCAGATTTCGGGTTGAGATTCATTGATTCCTTAAGTTTTCTCATGATGAAATTAGCCAACCTTCCAGCTGCTTTGGGCTTTACAGATAAAACTAAAGGTTATTTTCCTCACAGATTTTCATCGCTTGAACATCTGAATTATAAAGGACCTTACCCAGATGTCAACCATTATGGGTTTGAACAAATGTCTCCGGAGCATAAAAAAATATTTTTAGAATGGTACACCGATGTGTCTAAACAGCAGCTGTTTGATTTCAGAAAGGAGGCCGTGTTTTATTGTAGAAACGATGTGGAAATTCTGCGTAAAGCATGCGGTATTTTCAGAGAGGAGTTTTTTAATGAAACAGGTATCGACCCGCTGAAATCTGTCACGATCGCTTCAGCTTGCATGCGCGTGTTTAGATCAAAATTCCTAAAACCAGACACATTGGCCATTCCTTGTCCGCTCGGTTATCGACCGCAACAAAAACCATTTTCAAGTTCAAGCATCGTGTGGTTGGAATGGGTTTCACACAGTCAAAATGTAGACATTCAACACGCTTTAACGCCTTTGGGGGAGTATAAAGTGGGAGATTTTTATCTCGACGGATATGCTGTGATTTCAGGCGTCGAACAAGGGTTTGAGTATATGGGTTGTTTTTTCCACGGCTGTTGAAGATATAAGATATGTACTTTTCTCTGTAATGCTCTCTCGTCCAGTTTAACTAGAAACTTGCATGCCTTAGCAGAAAGCCAAGTGCATGTTCTATCTTGCTCGGTACTTTCCACCCTGTACTGGTAAACAGGAACTAGGGTTTCCTGTTATTTCTCGACCTTTAAGCACCTAACTCATATTTTGTGCAAGCTGTCAAAATGTCTGCGGTTGAGTGCGGGCGTGTGGAGCTTCAATAAATACAGCCGCTTCAACAGAGGAAGACAGAATCTCAGAGACAGCTGTCAGGACAGAGCGCGGGTTCTGTATGAGGCTGTGAGCTTCTCCACTGCTGCGGTGAACTTTGAACAGGTTTCTGATTCTTGACTCCAACCCTTGAAGCAGAGAACAGAACATCTTCCATCCTCTTCTGATGACCTCGTACCTGTATTGGTTTTAACAGAGCATAAAACCAACAAAATTGGCGTCACGAACAGGATCCTCTCTCAGCTGATGAGAGAGGGAGGCAGAAGAGACCAATTCGAAACCAGACTCAGGAGCCGGGACCCAGACACAACGGCCGACAAAGATTAAGGTAAGCAGACCTTTTTATACAAAATCTGCTCATTGAACATATTCAAACTAATTTGTGTCGAGGTTCCTGGCAACTGAGGTCAGTAAATTTGATATAATTGTAAAGAGTTGGAGACAAAAACTGAAACTCTAAAAGAACAGGTCTGGGATCTGAAAGAGTTTTATAGAATAGAAAGATAGAATTTCTGGGATTGTCACGAACTACAGCTGACGAGCACAAGTTCCTCTGACAATATTAAAAGCCCG